TTAAAACACATCAAAATACACTGGAAAAACATATTGGTCAACCCCTAGGGACTCATGTCTTAAAAGTAAAAATTTACCAAAAGACGAATGTTAAGACACTTTTCTTCTATGATGCTTCCTTCGCAAATGACTTAAAATTATCTAACCTAACCTCCTAACCGGGGGGGTCCGCACATCCTGGATCCCCTGGTATATTTAACCCTTAGGCCCCGGGTGGCGTTCCATTATTTTTGGAAGTTGTTTTTTACTTGATTTATCCCCGTGCGCGGGGTTACTGCCAGCAGCACCCTAACCCAGTCATTTGCGAGAGAAACATCATTAAAGAAAAGTGTCATAACATTGTCTAAACCATCAGTAAAACACATTCCTCAACAAAAAACCCAATCCGGTTAATATAAAGGACTAACCCATGAGCGTGTTATTTTTATTAGTTTATTTTATTACAATATTTTCATCAGTGAGTTCTGATATGATGATCATTTATTGTGGAAATTGTTCGTTTCATAGATAATTAGGCACCTAGGCGCTAACTAGTTTATCTTGCAGGCAGTAATGAGGCCACGATCTGCTGAGGGGCTTTTCCTCGCCTGGGGCAGCTTGTTTTTCAGCATGTCGTGTGAAGGTTGTTGCCGATCTTACATGGACATAATTTGTGAATTTAGGGGTAAAGACAACGAGACCCTTCAATTGTTCCTTTACATGGAGACTGAGTTCTGATATGATAACCATTTATTGTGGAACCTGCCAACACAGCAAATCAATCTGCCGCCCAGGGTGCATAGCGTCTATGCAGCCATATCATCTCAAGTCCAGAAAATGCCTCAAATATCACCATATCACAGTAAGTTCTTTCTATTTAATATACCGGGGGTCCGGGGGGGCGGAGCCCCCAGGTAAGGAAGTTAGGTAATGTTAGGTAGGTTTGTTTGGTGAGGTCTGTTTTTCATACCCATAAATGTTAACTTACGTTTATGTTTAAAACATCCAATTTTGGTATTTTTGTATTAGTGCACACAACTTTCCAAACCCAAATCTTTTATCATATTCGAATAAGGCGTCTAATTTTAAGATAATTTTCTTCCAGTACATTACCGTCACAAATGTATAATAACGGAGACAGCGCATGTCAGATATTTCTCTATTTTCTTCCATTAATCTTCTGCCATTATCGCCTACCGGACCTCCCACACTGTGTTTCCTTCATAAATCATCATGCGCATGCGTTCCTGTACACGTCACGCGGCCAATGAAAAGTGTATTTTTTTGCCACCAATTTATATGAATTGTGGTTTAATTTGCGGTATTTTTTGCCCAATCAGATTCGATTGCGATTTTGGGTCTCATATTTCTTAATTCAAATTCGTTTCTGACCATGGAAGTCTGTGATGGGTGTCACTTCAATTATATGGAGCTGATTGAGCACTTTGGGGAAAAAACGAAGAAACTATAGCATTTATAGATCTCATGGTGTTCTCCCAACATCAGTAAAGTGTCCTAAGTGTAAGAACGAGTGTATATATCATCAAGACCAACATAGTTGGCATTGTAGTAACTCATTCCTTATTCCTAAAAGAAAGAAGAGACATTGGTGTTCGTACACCGTCAGAGATTACAAAGGAACCAGAACCAGGCCAATAAGGTAAGAAATAAGTGATTCCATCATATGGTGAGAGTTCGGTTAGGTTAGGTCAGGTTAGGTCAGGTTAGGTCAGGTCAGATTAGGTTAGGTCATCCAAAAAAGGTCCGGTGTATATGTTTTTCCCATGTTTTTTTTTGGTCTATTTTGTATTTGCTTGGCCATGATTTTTGTCGGAAAACACCCCACCCAAAACACCCGATAACTAAAAAACAGGCAATTTCTGACAGACATCAAGGTAGGAACCCATCAAAACACACAAAAATACAATAGAAAAACATAGTTTTTACTTTCTAACAGAGTTGTGTGCACTAATACAAATGAACCTGATATAACCTGACCTAACACACCCATAGGTTGGGTATGTTAGGTTAGGTTCTATTAGGTTCTATGCATTATCGTGTTAATTTATCTGTTAAACAATTTACCTTAATATTGAGGTTAATATAAATCAGCAATGGCGAGGAGGAATTCATGGAAGCGTTCACCATCATTTATAGGAAACGTGACTGACACACTGGTTTACATTGTGGACACTTTACTGACGATGCAAGAACACCGTGAGCTCTAAAAATATCTATGGCTGCTGCCTCAGTCTCAAAAACAACGGTGAATAACCCGCTAGTCAGCCAAGGTACACCCTCCACACCCTGAGCGGGAATCGAAAGGTACTCTCATTGGCGCTCGGGTGTTACGTCACATAAATACTAACGCTGATTCGCACACAAGACGTAAAAATAAAATTACCACTAAATGGCTAAATAAAAATTTTCAATTATCTCGAAAACTATAAACTTCCGACGGAAACGTTATAGAGGATTTTTTTTCTGTATCTAACCATGTATGACTGAATATTCGAATCCCTGGTGACATTTATCCCACATGGAGGGTTCGACTAATTACCCAAATGTAATAATAATAATAATAATAATAATAATAATTAACGGTTTATTGAAAGAGCTTGGCAGCCAGAAGGCTGGAAATATACAGTTACATATTTGGGGAATGGGTTTCGAATTACAAATACTATACAAGTAACATAAGTGACACAAATAAGACATATAATAACTAGATGGGGAAAAGCTCAAACTACAGTTCATTTCAACATAGTGACAGTGCAAGGAGTAGTGTTTACTGGGAGTGAATACACTGGTTTATTACAAGTTATTGATAATTTTTACAATGGTTGGGACTGGGCTGTTCTTATAGCGATCAGTTCGTGCACGTATGGGCTGGATGCGGTTGTGGTGTCGAACAGCAATTCTCGGACTAGGGATCTCAGGTGGTAGTAGGAGCCGGTGTCGAGGATGGTGTAGAAACTTCTTACCAAATTTGCAGATGAGGTCGTGGTGATGGTCAGTGAGAGTCGAAAGGGTCAGTGTGTTGAGCGCTTCTTGATATGTGGAGTAGGAAGGGAGAGAATAATCTTGCATGCCCTCTTTTGCACTTTTTCTAGGTGTTTACGTTGTGTGGCATTTAGGGAGGAAGACCAGGTGGGGGAGGCATAGGTGAGCTTGGGAAGTATGAATGTTGTGTAAACACTGAGGAGCTCGGGTGCAGGAACTCCGAGGGACTTGAGTCGGCGGAGGAGGTGGAGACGGAAACTGGAGGATTTGACAACTTCACTGACGTGTGTGGTTTCCAATTTAGTTTGTTGTCTATGGTGACGCCGAGGAGCTTCGTGGAATCTACAACCTGGAGTGTGTTCGGGCCTAGAGTAATGGAAGGAGGTGGGACAATGTCGGAGGAGAGGTTGATGTGCATAACCATGGTCTTCGTATGGTTGATGGTGACATGGTTGTTGGTGGCCCAGTTTTGGAGACTGTTCAATAAATCCTGAAGGGCGGTATAGTTGGGAGCAGAATTGTTGACGCTGATCCCAATGGTGGAGTTGTCGACATATTTCCAGCGAGCAGGGGTTTCTCTTAGGGCATCATTGATGAGCATAAGGAAGCAGAGTGGTCCCATCTTGGTGCCTTGGGGACGCCACAGGTGAGTGACTGAAAGGTGGAGACAGCCCCTCGAGCGTACAGCTTGGCGTCGGTCACTGAGGAAGTCTGTAAGCCATGGTATAAGACTTCTCCGAAGCCGAGGTCAATAGCTTTGTTGATGATTATATTGTGGTCGACTAGGTTTAACGCTTTAGTGAAATCAATGAAGGCGACAGCTACAGACGTTTTTCGTTTCTCGAGATGGCGGTATATGTAATCGAGAAAGCTGACAAGACAGTGAGTGGTGGAGGAAGTTTTCATGTTGCCAAATTGCTGAGGGTCTACGACTCCTGCAATATCAGCATAAGCCCAGTCGAACACAATGAAGTCAAATAATGGTCCTACATGAATAAATCGGGTTACCAATCATTTCTCGACTAGTATTTGGTGTCACAAAGTAAAAAAAAATTGGAAAACGTAATTTAATTTGAGTTAATAGATCGAGTGCATGTACCTAACCTAACCTAACCTCGACTAGTATTTGGTGTCACGAAGTCACAAAAAATTGGTAAACTTAATTTAATCTGAGTTAATAGATCAAGTGCATGTACCTAATCTAACCTAACACAACACAACACAACTCAGATTAAATTAAGTTTACCAATTTTTTGTGACTTTATGACACCAAATAATAATCGAGAAGTGATTCACAGCCCGATTTACGCTTGTACGACCATCATTTGACTTCATTGCGGCTACATTTGGGTACATTTGGGTAATTAGTCGGACCGCACATGGACCTTTTCTTGATTTTTGCTACACAGTTGTTTTGATGATTTTAAGTATATTAATAGAAACGACAACTTTCTATTATAATTTTAAGTATTTTTTAGGATGTTTTTATTTACTCTATCCGACTTGACAATTCTCCTCCCGTCCAAATTTTTGTTGTTTATCTTGCTGAATCCCTTTCAAGAGACCTTTCCTAAATGATGGTGAACGCTTCCACGTATTCCTCCTCGCCATTGCTGATGTATATCAACCTCAATATTAAGGTAAGTTGTTTAACACATAAATTAACACGATAATGCATAGAACCTAACAGAACCTGACCTAACAAACCCATAGGTTGGGTATGTTAGGTCAGGTTCTACATATTAGGTTCGATGCATTGTCGTTTCCATTTTTGTGTTTAATATCATATCAGTGTAGAAAATTTTCAACCAATTCCTTCTGGTGCTCACCCTTTTCTACACCTTTATCGTCCTATATAATTACCAAGAATCCATGGTTTTCCACTTGAAAAATTTACCTGCTCCTGATATACAAAGGGGGTTAGTTTAGGTTATGACAGTGTTCAAAATATTAAAATCCGCTCAAAAACCTACAGCCATAGGTATCCCCACAATAACTGTTATATAACTTTAACTCACTTTTTCAATCCTGAATCATCAACACCTTTCAACTTCAAAGAACCTTTAGCAGCGAAGTACACCTCGTCCTCCATCTTGTTTGTTTACGTTACACTTAGGAAAGTATGTAGGAGGAAATCGCGCGTTTCCCTTACTTTACTTTGAGTTTGAGGCTTCCGACTGGCCTGCCATCTAGTAGCCACTGGCCAGTCGCCTCTAAGAAAGAAAACTATTTTCTTTATCTCTTAAGGGTAAATTATGATAGAAAATGAACATATAGCAAAACTACGATATATATTTCTATGACTCAATATTTTACTTTAAATTTATTTCTTGTGCATGAATTATTATTGTATACAAGAGCATAGATCCTGGGGAGATACATCCCCCTATAATCAAGTTGACGGATTTCCTATACAGTGTAATCAAAGTCACAGGAAAAATTGTACAATATGTTATTAGTTATCATGTTCAAAGACACATTTCCACAAGTCCCAAGTCGTCCTCCCCGTCAGTCACAAAATATGTATGTCAATGGACTTGGAATGATTTGTACACACACACACAAATATATATATATATATATATATATATATATATATATATATATATATATATATATATATATATATATATATATATATATATATATGCTGATAACCACAAGGAAAGAAGAAAACACGAAGTTCCCAAGCGCTTTCGTGTAATTCACATCTTCAGGGGTGAGTACAGACTAGAGAGAGTAATACAAATCAAGATGTATATATACAGAGGAGGGTGAGACCATTGTGGACCTGGTCTCACCCTCCTCTGTCGTGGACCCAGCTGCTGTCACGAGCCCTAACCCGCTTCTGCTGACCCAGCCCCTGCTCCTGACCCAGGCCCACACACACCCCAGCAGGCGCATCTGACGACCCTGTACCTGTCGTGAGGGAAGCATAACAATCATCGCCTCCACACACCCTTTTTCTCCCTTCTCCCACAGATAGTGTGTATCTAGACAGTTGTATTTCAGCGATCGGCTCATCACGCCATCGCCGTTGTCTCACATGAGGCATGCACCGCCCGGTCTTCCTCACATGTGCTAAGCCACTCTACAAACAACAAGTCTCCTACACCGCCTGGAGGGGAGGGGGAGTATTGTAGTGGACGTCTCCCCTACAAACTGCCTATCGCATTCCAATGTGCCGTCTTCCCTAGCAACCAAGCGTATCCTCATTCCAATGCCCGCCGTATCTTAGCAACGGAACTAGTCACCGGCTACTTCTCGGGTTTTCCCACCATGACTCATAGCCGCTGCTGGGTGTATATAAGCTCTGTCTCTCCCTTGAGATTCAGTCAGACCAATCTTCTTGAACAAGCAACACCTCCTCCTCTGCCGCTGCCTGGCGACCCTCGCCTCTCCTCCGCCTGCCTGGCGGTCCTCGCTCCCGCCAGCGAGCATGTCCTTCTCTGAGCTTCCTCACCAACCAACTCTCATTCTGCCCATTTTCCTGAACAAGCAACATCTCCTCCAGCAAGCTCCACGCTGTTAACATTTCATTCAACCAGGAGGCCAGCAACAGGCAACATCTTCTCTAACGAAGCTCCTGCACATCTACCTCCTTCAACAAGCTACTCACCGAACGTCTTCTACCGTGCAGCCTCTCACCACACGGCACCTCCAGCACCAGACTGTCTATCATATAACTTATATATTATACAAGAAAACCACATTAGAGTTTCCTTCCATCCTGAGTGCTAGACAACATTAATATCTCGATACCCCTACATTATATATATATATATATATATATATATATATATATATATATATATATATATATATATATATATATATATATATATATATATATATATATATATATATATATATATATATATATATATATATCCTGATAAAATCACACGGGAAAAGGGAAACAACGGAGCACCTTAGCTTTAGTCTTTATTCAAGACATCTTCAGAGGCAATTGGATTACATGGACAGAGAGAGGCTTAAATATACAGGGTGACCTTATTAAACATGAGGTCAGGTCATAATGATGTCATCCACTAATCCCCACACCAACACACACGTTGAAGAGCTTAAGAGAAGGGGGTGACGTGACTAGTCAGGTCAGGTCAAAAATAAGGGACCCACTAAATAACTATCATACATCTAGATCAGGGGTCACCAAACTACGGCCCGCGGGCCGAATCCGGCCCGCGACGTCAGTTCAACAGGCCCGCCGTGGTAGCTCCGCCTACGCTCTGACGTTACCATGGTTTCCATGGCTTTCGTTCTGGCTTGCAAGTATTGAACAGAATGATTATGCGGCCCGCGCTCGTCATTCTTTCAGTTATCCGGCCCACTGTGAAAAAAGTTTGGTGACCCCTGATCTAGATCAAAGGTTTTCAAAACACTTTTAACCTTGGGCCACTGACAAATAAATTTACATAACATATTATCAGTTTTGAACTGACCATAAACAAAGGTTTATTGATTTTAATTCCTTAATCAAACTAGCTTCAACCAGAAGTCTTTCTGTGACACAAGATGATTTAAATACTTCTAAGCTTTTTTCCCAAGGTGCTCCGTTGTTTCCCTTTTCCCGTGTGATTTTATCAAGATTTATCTTATCCACGTTTTCATTGTGGATCTACATGAAATATATATATATATATATATATATATATATATATATATATATATATATATATATATATATATATATATATATATATATATATATATATATATATATATATAATGGCTCATTCTATTCATGTAAAGGATTAATTGAAGAGAAACTTTTATTGTGTTTTTTATAAGTATTTTATTCAATATTTATAAATTGTATTACAGACTACAAAACGCCAGAATTGTAAAAACTATTGGACTTTGTTACAAGTAAACGTTTTGTTACAGTGGCAAAATGTTACTCAAGTGGAAGTAAAAGTATCTAAAGTTCAATGCACTCAAGTAGAAGTAAAAAAGTATCTCAGTAATAAACTACTTAAATACTGAATGTAAAACGTAATACAAAAATTATTGTCTCAAATATTAAAATAAATCCACAGTAAATTAAAAAAAAATAATTAACTAAAAATATGACACATAGCATTTCAAATGTTTATTTGCAAATCCTTCTACTGATATTAATCAATAACTGATTCTCGAATTTATGGATGTCCAGATTTTTAAAGCCGAAATATAAGCCCAGCATGACCTACCGAAAGAGAATACTTTTTACTTTACTTTGTGGGGATGGGATGGGATGGAGAAAGGAAACTCACAATGTGCTCTCTGTATACATGTTGTATTGGATGCACAATGCAGCTTGGTGCTGGGAAGTGGCAGCGTGGTTACAAGCATGATGTAGCTGGTTGGTGAGGGCGCTCAGAGGAGGACCAGCTTTTGGGTCGCCATGCTCACCGGCGGGAGCGAGGACCGCCAGGCAGGAGGAGGAGGAAGTGTTGCTTGCTGGTTGGTGTAGGTCGAAAGAGAGAGCTAGGTCACCATTAGGTCAGGTCTTATATAGCGGAGGTAGGCGTGGCTTAATAGTTGACCTCCGTGATGTATGGCGGTGCTGGTTGACCTAGACCACGAGGAATACACTGGGGAATTCGCGGGGTCGGCTACTCAGCGACAAACAGCGTTTGTAGGGGAGAAATCCACTACAGTACTCCCCCCTTCCCTCCAGGCGGCGTAGGAGACTTGTTGTCTGCAGGGTTGCATGGCACATGTGAGGCAGAACGGGCGGTGCATGCCACATGTGAGCCATAACGGCGAGGGCGTGGATGAGCCGGCCGCTAGAGGAGACAACTGTCTAGATGCACAAAATCTGTGGGAGTAGAGAGGGAGAAAAAGGGTGTGTGGAGGCGATGAATGTTGTGCTTCCCTCACGGCAGGTACAGAGTCGTCAGATGCGCCTGCTGGGGTGTGTGGGCCTGGGTCAGGAGCAGGGGCTGAGTCAGCAGAAGCGGATGAAAGCTCATGACAGCAGCTGGGTCCACGACAGCAGCAGGGTGCAGGACAGTAGCAGGGGGGTACCTGAGGGAGAAAAGAGGGGTGTGTGGGGCCGCGTCAGGAGCAGGGGCTGCGTCAGGAGGAGCGGCAGGGGGTACTGCTGGGCCGGGGCGGCGTCTGAGGCAGGACGGGTGTGTTGAGGTCGGTAGGACGTGGTGCTTGGGGCAGGAAGATGAGTGGCTGTCTGCTTAGAGTCGCAGATAGGGTGTCTAACCTGCGGTGTAGAGACAGTAGTTGTAGAGCCGATGAGAGCTGCTTCTGTGCGGATAAGCCAGTCTTCCATGTTGCTTGAAGACTGGGAGAGTGATCGGTTTCTCCTCCATCCTGTGTGAGTGCGAATCTCCGGGGGTCACCATTTGTAGGGTAATGGGATTTTTGGGGTTCTCACTCAGGATGAGATGGAGAAAGGAAATTCACAATGTGCTCTCTGTATACATGTTGTATTGGATGTACAATGCAGCTTGGTGCTGGGAAGTGGCAGCGTGGTTACAAGCGTGATGTAGAGAGAGCTGGTTGGTGAGGATGCTCAGAGGAGGACAGCTTGTGGGTCGCCATGCTCGCCGGCGAGAGCGAGGGCCACCAGGCAGCGGCGGAGGAGGAGGAGGTGTTGCTTGCTGGTTGGTGTAGGTAGAAAAAAGAGATAGGTCACCACGAGGTCAGGTCTTATATAGCGGAGGTAGGCGTGGCTTAGTAGTTGACCTCCGTCATGTTCGGCAGCGCTGGTTGACCATGACCACGAGGCATACACTGGGGAATTCGCGGGGTCGGCTACTCAGCGACAAACAGCGTTTGTAGGGGAGAAATCCACTCCAACTTTTATCCTCTTCACCACTGATCGGCTCGTTAGCCGCTTGGGCGATCGGTCACGTCTCTGTTACTTTTCCTTTTCTTTTATCCTCTTCACCAAATGATCGGCGCATTAGCCGTTTGGGCGATCAGTCACGTCTCTGTTACGCACTCTTGGCAAGTATTGGGCATGCACCGGCTCCTGAATGTACCTGAACCTGCTCCAGTGTTGGTCAAGTCTTGTCTTGAAAGAGCTCACACTCGGTGCCGTCACAACGCTTTCTGGTAGATTGTTCAAAGAGTTCACAACTCTCACTCCGAAAAAGTTTGCCCTCACAGTTTTCTGGACCTGCGGCTTCTTCAATCTTGAGCTGTGACCCCTTGTGGGGCGAGCGTCTGCCAGCTCCAA